CCTCCTCCTCCTCCTCCTCCTTCTTCTTCTTCTTCTTCTTCTTCTTCTTCTTCTTCTTCTGGATTGTTTGAGCCAAACGACATCGTTCTGAACCACGTTCGGTGCTGGTGGGAGTGAGGCGGGAGACAGACGGGAAACAAACCAGATCCGAAGTGACTCCCCTTTCTCTCTCCCTGGCCTGCCCCTTAGACGATCCTGAAGCTGCTGGTGTCGGGGGAGGGGCGCTCCTGCACGGGGGTGGCCATCCCGATCCCCCAGTACCCCCTGTACTCGGCCGCCCTGGCGGAACTGAACGCCGTGCAGATCAACTACTACCTGGACGAGGAGAACTGCTGGGCGCTGAACGTGGAGGAGCTGCGGAGAGCTGTGGGCGAAGCCCGGCGGCACTGCAGGCCGCGTGCCCTGTGCATCATCAACCCGGGGAACCCGACCGGTATGTGCCCCGTGGCAGAGGAACAGGCTCCCCTTGGGCTTCTGATAACGCCATCGTGTTTCAGCTTCTCAGGGACAGGATCACAAGGACCGGCTCAAGGGGTGTCAGAGAACCAAATCCAGATTCCCCCCCTTCTAAGACATGCCGGGCCCCACCAGGTCTGAGGCAGAAGAATATCCCGCCTGTCTTCCCTTTGTTTTATTTCTGACATAAGAGAAGCCAATGCTGGATCAGGCCAAAGGCCCATCCAGTCCAACACTCTGTGTCACACAGTGGCCAGAAATACCAGGTGCCATCAGGAGGTCCCCCCAGCAGTGGGGCCAGGACATTAGAAGCCCTCCCACTGTTGACCCCCCCCAAGCACCAAGAAGACAGAGCATCACCTGCCCCAGACCGAGGGTCCCTATCTATACCTTGTGCTTCATAGCCACTGATGGACCTCTGCTCCAGATGCTTATCCAGTTCATAACAACACAAGAGAAGCCCCTGTCGGATCAGGCCCCTGGCCCATCCAGCCCAACGCTCCTCTGTCACACAGTGGCCAACAATACTCAGGGGCCATCAGGAGGTCCACCCTCTATGGCATTCCACATGGTATTTTTCCATGTGGGCTTCTTTCTGTGTGGGCTTTTTTATGTATGGGCTTTTTTCTTTTTTCTTTTAAATCAATTTTTTATTTTTAAAGACAAAAACAAACATGTAGGAGGGAAAAATATTCTTACAGATTCTAGTTTAACATACTCATCCCTAACAACTAGTATATTTATCTATTTCACCTTATATCATTGTGCATATCTCTTGCAAATGTTTCAAAGTTATACTTTGTATGTCCTTAAATAGTTTTAAGCCAGTTTGGTGGTTAAATTCACAGACCCTAATCTGGGAGAACCGGGTTTGATTCCCCACTCCTCCACTCGCAGCTGCTGGGTGACCTTGTGTTAGCCAAATTGCCTTGAATTATTAATTAGTCTAGGGGAAGTTATGATTATTAATTGGCAATAGGCAAATTAGGGTTCACACCAATGTATACAGAAGTCCCACCTTTGCTGTAAGCACCAGAACAGACAGAGACTGTATTTAGTAAAATATAATGTCTTTTTACTGGGGGATATATATCATTCAAACAATACACAACCACACACACATTTATACATATGCTAAGAAATAAA